TATTTGACTACCAAACAGGGATATGAGTAACATTGACACAAACAAATTATGTCTATACACCAGATGTTCCTTATTAGCTTGCTCCTGATCCACCATAGCCTTATTATACCTTGCAAGCAGAAAAAGCCATTTTTGCTATTGCAGAAGGACACTTGTATTTTAAGACCATTATTCAGTATTTTGATTTTCACCGTACACTGGCAGAGAGTCATGTATTAAATATATTCCCTGAAATCTTTCTTTCCCCCATCTGATATTGTTTTTGTGACTAGAGACCACTCACTAAAATGAGTTTAGGACTTGCCAGTAAGCTAGTATTCACTTACTAGACAGTGCAGTATGAAAAAGATTAAATTAATTACTACCTTGAGAATCCCCAACTGTATTAGAACTGAAAAGAAAATTCATACTGCTGTTCTACTGATTTCAGAGTCACATTGTAACTCTTTGCAAATTATAAAAAAATTACAAGAACCAGCCAGATATCATCCTTGACACACTTGTGCAGAAAAAGCTTTAATAGACTACTTATTGGAGGAAGCATAGAGCTGAGTGAGAAAAAGCATACTCCATTCTTGTTTGTGCTATCATCAATACTGAACTGAAAGGCTGGGCTGATACACTGAGCCTTGTTTCCCACTTTCTTTAAATTACTCCTATTGAGAAAAATTGCTTATTTTCTCCATCGAGATTGGAAGCACTGAGAATGTTGATAAACAGATTCACACATTTCTTGTTAGCTAACTGGCTTGCTGGTCCACAATTTTGATCTTTGCTGATATTCTTCGATTTACTGAATTACTAAGATTTGTCAAGATATTCTGCAAAGCCAGAATCTGGAACATTTTTATAGCCTTTTTTCTCTCAATGTATTAACCAGAAACCTTATCAATGGTAGTCCATTTTGCACAGATGTACTGAAGACATTTCAGCCCAAACTGTGTTATCACTAACACTGCTGTGATGGGTACTATACTTGCATCCACTACCAGCTACAGGTACGAAATGCACTACTGTAAGAGATCGTGCATTTTTTTTTCCTGATAATTATTTAAATGTTTTTAGAGACCATAGCTTAGTCTCGCATGTAACTTACTTATTTAGAAATCTAAGCCTCACAGAACATCAGTTTTACACTGATGCAAAAGCAAACTGTGTTTTGGTTCACTTTCCCATCCTTCATTTGGTTGTGGAAAGGTTACAGCAAAGGAGCTGAAAACACTTTTTTCACTGACATTTTATTAAAAAAGAAACAGATATAATTCCAAACGCATAATGATTTGCTGAACAAGATGCAATTTTTCTGATCAGTGCTATCTCCTTAGATGGGCGGTCAAGAGCAAGATTAGTAATTTTTAAGCCCAAAATAATTGTTAACATACTCTGCTGCAAAAGCCAAAGATGACAAATGCCCAGTGCTTTTGTAAATTGATTATTTGCACATGTACCCCTTGCACTGACAAGAAGACATTTCGACATAACCTCCATGTTGCCTTTTCTTAGCTATTCAGAAAGTAACCTAACATTTCAACACTGCTGAGAACTCAGTTTGGACTAATTCAGTTCCATACTCTAGCAGTCCTACAGAATGTATTCCCAGCTGCATACAAATCGCCTGAGAAATTATAAAGGGATATAATAATGACAAGTTTATAATAATAACAATAATAACTCTCAAAGCCCCATTCACCCCACATAGCAAGAGCCCTTAAAAAGACAGCGTTAGCTTCACCTCGTATCTGGGAAGCAAGGTGAGACGCAGGGCTGAGGAGCCGGTGCTGCTACAGCCCCACTCAAGAATTCCTGTCTGCACACCACTGGCTTTTGGAGCAGCCTCAGGTTACTTCTGGTCTGCGCCTACAGAGCCTGAAGTTAAAGCCTAACTTCACTGACACCTGAGGGCATCTTTTGCTAACTTTGGGAAACACCTGTGCAAAGGGAAGCAGAAGCCAGCCCACAGCCCGGTTTTAGCTTTGCAAACCTACTTTCCACGCTGTCCAAATGGTCAAAACTTCGCACACACACCAAATGTGGGGCTACTGAGGTTTCTAGACCTCTGTACGTTGTTTCTTTTGTACTTTCCAGACAGCACTACCTCTACCCTATCAGTGTGCACTCCTCCTCACTATATGGGCAGCGCGAGGAGATCGAGGGACATTTTTGCCTTGCTACTCAGCCTCTGCACAAAGCCAGGGTGGCACGGGCTCCCCCGGAGCATCACTCACCCAAGCTGCAGTGCTGCAAGCTCACCACAGCCAGTGACACCAGCAGAGGGGAAAACTATTCAATTTTAAGCTCTCTGGGACAGAACCGGGAATAGCACCTAGTTCTCGTGCTGGTGAACCCTGTTCTGCTCATCAGATTTCACAGCCCCATGTAGAAAACAAAGTGTATCTCCTTGCCTGTCTCCTAGGGTAGGATCAGGTCCAAAAGCACTTCCTTAATAAAACAGTAAGTTCCTGCACAAATATTGTGCTGCTGTCTTTTAACAGTGTACATTATGGTATGAAAGAGAACAAACAGAGTGACAAGCAGACACAAACCTAAAACCACACCTCTATCTCTGGATTTTTTAGAGCACATTTTTTTCCTTTAAAATTCAAGGCTTCCATCAGAATTTGTCACAGAAAATCAGGAAATAACACTTTTTAATGTACTGAAGCAGCTTAAGTGCTTCCTTACATTTCAGAATAACTGGCTACACTTTCTAAATACTTTTTTTCCCCTTTAGTAACACATTGTTGGGGTGTGTAGTTCTTGTAATTTAAAGTTATTTTCTGAATTTTTTTGAAGTGACATAAAGATAGAGAAGTAATTAAACTCTCCTTCACACATGATTATTTTTTCAGCATATAAATGTTGATTTTTTTTTTCTTCACAGATGGAAAAGAAGACTTGAACCATTCAATAACTAGCAAAAGTTTTGATAGGAAAAGACTCCATGTGCTGCTGTAAAGTATGATCTGATTTGAACAGCATATTATTGAGCTTACTACAAATTTCAGGGGACTAACAGAAATACCAACTGCAACAATCAAGACTCATCATGAACACCTGCTTAGGGACTTAATTTTGCTTTAATGGGCTATTACCAAGGCGTCTCTAACAAACTCCCTCGTCCCCCCCAAAATCAATTCTGGATCAATACAGACACACATGCCCTGTGTAGAGCCTTCTGTTCTTAGGACAGGATTAAAAGAGTCATTAGTTTTATGATAGCTTGGTTAAAAGATGGAAATTAGGAAAAAAAAAAAAAAAAAAAGAGAAGATGCACATGTCCCACACAGTTTAGATCTCTTCTGCTTAACAAACTCAGCATTTGCAAAGGTTCGACAGAAGGGATGCAACTTTTTATCGATTATCACAGTAATAAGGCTCTAAAGAATCCCAAAGCACAGTGCTCAGTCTCCGTGAACGATCAATTAAAAGCCTGCTTGAGAGCCTGCTTCCACCAAAATTCACTGCCATTTCTTAGTGAAACGGAGGTAGTAGAAAACAACGGCAGACAAGCAATTTTTAAAAACACCTCTGTATTCTTTCAACCAAACAAGTACAAAAACTTAGAGCAGATGTCAGTGAGGGAATATTACGAAAAATGTATTCCTTCACTGACTTTGCAATAGCAAGTCTCTATTTCTCTAAGTTAATCCTGGGTGCTATTTTTCTTTAACCAAAAATAAGACACAGGAAAAGTCTACAAAGTGTTATAAATTCACTGGTTAAAACCCAATAGCAGATAAATAGCTTTCAAGAGCATTTAAAATGTTGCACAATACAAAACCATACATTATCCACAACTACATTTAGTCTACAATTTGATCATGTTCTTACAGCTTCATAGAACAGGATTTAAAAAAATATTTCCTTTATTATGAAACACAATGCTGTTCAAAGTACAGGAATTTAGACATTTTTCTTACGAACTTACAGAATTACTGCACCAAGCGCTAATAAATATTGCCTGCACAAAGGAAAATATTTCAGTTTGCCACGTAGTTAATAAGCTTAAACAGTCTAGTTTTTACTACAAAGCTACTTTAAAAGTAGTAAATGGTGTTTATCTACCTAGTTACATCAGATTCATCGGGGTTTGGGATAACTGCATACAGGAAATCGTAACAGAAAAAGGATATTATGTTGGTACAACAGGCTGGTTTTTTATTCTTTAACAATGTCAGTTTAAAGAAACATAGAGAACATATACTCTGTGCATCAGTTTGCTTGTCTGAGTTCAGAGCAAATAACACCAAAAACATTTCCAAGTGTTTGTTGGTATTTTGGGCTCTTTTTGAGAAGTGATATCTGCTTTGATTACTTGAAAGCAAAAGAATAAATCTAAAAACAGACAATGATTTCACCCTCAGGGAGCTGATACTGCACTCTGATTATCTCTCACAAACGTATTGATTACATGAACTTTTCGGATGCAGAATAGTCTTTCTTGCATAGATATATTCTTGAATTTTCAGTCTTTTTTTCTTTGCATAATCACAAACTATGTGGTTTTCACTTAAAAGACAGTAACTCTATTAAATGTAATATTTTTCCCATACATATTTAGAGTTCTGTTTTCAAAATATTTTGCCTGAGTTGCTCAGTAAACAGACTTCCCATTTACTGATAACGAGGACTCACACAAATTGTATGTAACCAGAAACACAGCTTTAAGATGCAGAATATATAATGACAACATTTCAGAAGAGAAACTTTCTTCTCTAGCTCACTGGAGAATAGCAAATTAACTTAACAGCCCCAGAAAGCAGAAAGCAAGCAATATATCTGCAAATGTCTTACAGATTAAGAAAAAGTGCTTGGAAATCCTCATCGCTCACTGAAAACCTTACAATCACCTAGCAACCTACGTTACTGCTGCTTTCAATTTTGAACAGGCAGCCTTCACATTCAAAGATGTATCTGAGCCAACTGATGCAACTGCAAGTTTAAAGCAAAACAAAAACAAAACCAGATTTTTTTTTGTTATTTAAATAAATTGCCCCTACCTTTCTTCTGAGAGTACGATGGCGATTGCACTTGAGAAAAAGTAGGTTTTTCTTCGGTGAAATATTCAGGTTGGTTGTACTGATTCAGGGCCATGTCCATGTCAGAGTACTCGCTTTTAAACACGTTTCCAGGGTAACTACAGGTATAAGGCTGATTCACCGCCCAGGCCTGTTCCATATATATGTTGTTACTGTGCAGGACCTGAGCATCACAACTGTTGTAACCCTGATTATCTTCGATATATGTGCAATAATCAGTGGACTGCATGTAGCAACTGCTGCCAGCAGCTGGGTGCACTTCATATATTTCCTGCATACAGTAGTTCATTTTGTTACCCTATCTCAGCTTCTACTTTACGTACACACACACATGCATACACACGCAGGCATGCATACACATGCAACGGTGGAGGAGCAATGAATATACACCAACAAAGTCGACTGCAAAACAGCCCGTTTTACTTTGGAGCAGCACCTGATGTGCTAAAATCCTATTTATATTGGGACAGCTTGTGAACTCCCCTGCCAGTCAAACATATTGGGAAGCAGATTTATGACAGTCAAAGGTCTTAATCTGTGACTGTAAGTTAATTCCAAGTGAACATGGCAGGCAGGTAGCAATGACCACCAGACAAAGAAGTGACATCCCAACAACCCTCCTGTTCCCATTTGTCTAGAATAATCATTTTATAAACCATTTCCAGCCTTTTCCAATATGATTAGAAAATGATTACTAAGGCGAGGACACAGTTATGTCACTGTAGTTGTCAACTTAAGTGTGAAGCATTACAAAGAGTGCTTAAGAACTCCCAGAGGGGATACGCTGAAAATCCTAAAATCAATAATCCTGTTTTTCAGCATTAAACCACAGAAAATCCAATAGTGCTGTGCTGATGACCCAAAGAGTAGTCTAGTTTTACAAAACTTAGCAACTTAATCTGTCATCAGCTTTATTGATTTTGTTTTACAGAATTACATGCATGAATCTCCCCAGCCTTCCACACATTACTGCCTGGTAATGCATTTACGGGAAAGCAGCTTTTCTAAACTTCAGTGATTTGGAGAGGTAATTTCTATTGTGTTCAACAGGTGGGAAATTTCAAAATAATATAATCAGCAAAAAGAACCCTGCTTAAATATTATCAATAAGCTAATTGCTTTGCTATTCTGCTTTGTTATCTTTTATGTTTCAGTAATGAAGCACTTTTAGAAATGTATCTTTTTTTGATAACAGACCCAGTAGAATAAGGAGGGGTTTTTGCTTGTTTTGGCTCACTTATGAGCTATGAACATGTCAACGCCACTACAACAAAAACTGTATGATCTTGTAACTGTGTAATGCACCCCAAGCCTCAATACAGTTAATATACCTTGTTTAATCAGCCATTCTTGTTAATCTAAAATAAATGATTTTATTTTTAACCTATATTAGCTGTCATTTGTTTTTTACTAGGCAAAATGTTTTTTCTTTACAGCACAGCTAAAACATGGCAAAACCTGTGAATTCAGTAACAAGATGGTATCCCTCTTTAATGTCTGTTCTTATTATTAGGAAGCAAAATTATTACTGATTTGATAATGAGGTCTTTGTTTTGTTATTTCACTTATTTAAGAAAAATACAGGATTGCCGAAAGTACAACGCAGGTTGCCCCTTTTTCATCTAGGATCTTAAGTATACATCTAACAACCTTGACGAACATACACTGAAATGGTCCTCGAAAGTTCAGGGAAATAGGTTAAGAACTGGGCATGACATGTACAGATTTCTCCCTACCCAATATTTTTTAACGTTTCAGTCTAACGCAGAGAGCCAATGGAGAAATGTTCTCCCTTCCAACATACAACCGTAACTAATGTATCTAAATAAGAAGCAGGTATCTAATCTGCAGGCTAACAGAATGCAGGATAAATGCTTCTGAGGATCGGAGAAGTTAAAATTCATGCTTGGATATTTTTTTCCTTTAACTATTAAAGAAGCATCTTACACATTTCTTATTAACTTGCTCAGAAAATAATAATACACTTGGTAAGTCAAAATGAACTCTATCAAGATCAATTCTACTGAAGTTGATGAAGTTGCTTCCACAATGGACTTATTCTGCTAAAACTCTTGACAACTTAAACTAACATCTTAGTTCACTAAGAGCACTAATAGTTACTGAAATCTCAAACACAATGAACTCTCATTCTCCATGCTGTTTTTACCAAAGATCTAACTCAACAAACAGCATTGTGAAACACTGTGAAAATCCACACAATAAAACTTTATTTTTGTTTTAGTTCAGGTCCATGATCTAGATTTTACAAACTGTGATTTTTGTCTGCGATAAAAAGCATCTCTTAAGCAAGATTGGATTTTTCAAGAATGGATGTTCAGCATTTTGTAACAACACTCCTGTGCTTCCTAAGAAACTCTGCAATAGTTGTTTACACAGAAACCCCCAAACCACACCCATTTATGTGATCGGCTGGTAATACTGTAGTACATACAAATGTAATGCACACAACCTGCTGAGCTTACTTCATGCTTCCCAGAAAGAAAACATTCCACAAGTGCAATACGTGGGTTGTTCATTTACCACAAAACCATCTCCTGTACAGCTAACAGGAATTTATGTGAGAGCTTGCACAGAGGTGAGGCTGTATTTTATAGGTTAGCACAGCAAGAATACCTAGATACTCTTAAACCACTCAGAAAAGCTTTTGAGAACTGACTTTCTAAAGTCTCAGTGGCATTTTCCCCCCTCTGGATTTGTTTTGCCAGATGAGGCAAAATCCCTACAAATTTTCTCTTCGTTGCCCCCTCAACTTGATTTAGGTTTGTTACTGAAAAACTAAACAGAATCGAGCCCATGTGTAGACAGAGCCATCCCAGCCAGGATGGCACCTGAGGATACGGTACCTCAGTGCGGCACAGACAATTTCAACAGATAAATCCCTCAAACATTTTTAGTCTTCTACTGCTATATCAATAACGCTTAGAAATGTGTCATATGTACTACTTTTGTCAGAATTACTGTAATATTGCAACTTTAATTACATGAAACTGTGAAGAATGAGAAAAAGAAAAATGGATGAGATCTGCTTCTGACAAAAAAAGAGGAATGATAAACACTGCCAAGGAATGGGGGTTCCTTACCTCTAATGTGCTAACATTAAAGAGGTTTATAGCACTACAGACTGTTGTTCCCTGGAAACAAATAAGTTCAAAAAACACTGCAAAGATTTAACATCCCTGTTAAAATGGAAATATTCCCAAAATATTTTCATTTTAATCTCTTAGGATCCAATCCTGCAGGTCCCTTTCATGTATCACTTTGAATTAAATCATCTGACAAAAGGGAGTCAGACAGGGTCTTTATCAAAAGTCTGAAAGTGGACTAGAAAATAATATTAATAGCTTTTCTTTGTCTTGTATTCCTATTTGTACATTAGAGTCTTTAAATCCCGTCATGTTGAGATTTCATTGCCCTCAGCAATGTAGTATCACACTCGGAATTGTATTAGTTCACAAGTGTCCCATTATGTGAACACATGGAAATTAATCACTAGCAGAATAAAACCTCTGGTGCGAGCAAACACGCCAGTGACAAAATAGAAACTTCGATAACCTGGCAGAAGAGGATCCAAAGTTTGAACCCTTCACAGTCTGAGGTGTCAGTTCATTGTACTAAAAAAGGTAGAAATTACTTGCTGGAACAGAATCTTGAATGCCCCAAAGGTTTTGAAATACTCACCCTGGTGTAAATCAGAAGTAGTGGGTGAGCAGAATGCCTGAAAGGAGGTGTCTGCAGGAGAGACTGCCTTACACTAGACCACACAGCTCTTCATCGACTCCTGTTTTAAAAACTCTAAACTTTTAATTATGAACAATCAAATGCCCCACTAAGCTGCACTTCTCTTGTGACTCAGTTACCAAAACCCCCAAATGAACCCATAGAAACTTTAAGACAAGACAGTATTCCTGTGGGTGACCCTTCCGATGGTACAGCCCAAAGAACTGAGATCCCTGACACACAAAAAAGAAGTGCCATCCAGTGCTGTGTGAACGTGGAGGTGGCATATCACCTGCAAGAGTCATATTCTCCTGACTCTTTCCAAATTTTGCATCCCTGATCTAGAGTTCTGGCTATCTCAGTGTTGCAGGTAGGTCCCCTGCACACCACTTCTAAAAGATTCAGCAGTGTCACCACATGGGAGGTACTGCAGAGAATTCAAATTAGCCAGGGCAGAGTGCCGCTTCTGAAGGACCAAATGGAAGGATTATGTTGGTCATGTTCACACCTCACGCATACAGGTGAATAAAAATGCTGTACTGGGTCAAAAAGTTTTGCACATTTGAATATGTAGTTGCAAGGATTAAACATACCTTTCAAAACTCTTTAACAGTTAGGTACACTTGTATTATCAGCTCCTTGTTTTATAATACATATCTTTACATGTTACAAAATAACTGTTATATTTCCTATTTATAGATTTGCTTATTGACTTCATTCTCTCAGCCACTTCTGATGAAGGTTATGGGAAAAAAAAATTAGATCACTACTCTTCAAGGAGAACACAAATCTGCACTTTCAGGAGTCACACCACATAACATGGGACACATCCCAGACAGTCCCTATCTTTTCATATCATGAAGAAAATATACGGAAAACTATAACAGTTTTTGAGCAGCAGTACTAATGTGGCTTTTGCAACACACATCATTTGTCAAATACAGCTATCTCCGTGCCCACATGATGAGCTACCACTTCAATGTATATATTTGCACTACCTTATTCATTCACTTTATGTACTATGATCAGAGACTCAAATTTTGGTTCCTCAAAAATACGACTATGCAAGCTCATTTAAGGAGTCACATCAGTTCTGACCCCCATGGGTCTCAGTGTTACAGATTAAACTAAGAAAACCTCAAACACCAGAATCCAAAACAATACCGAGCACTAACAAGAACAGAAAATTACCTCTATGTAGTATTTATCTTATTGTGAAAACTCATACTTGTGGTCAAATCATGAAGTATGTAGGCTTATGGAATTCTAGTGCTGTAAAGTTACAATAGCCTTTGATAGTGAAGTATGTCTCCATGGAATCAAAGACATTAAAAATTGTCATTTTGTCTACACTATATATATTATAGCCAATGATACCGTTGAGGGTAAAAGAGCTAAAACTTTCTGGCATAAAATCATTTCTTTGGATTAGCAATAGATGCAGCAAGCTTCAAACTAGCTGCCCCTCGTTTAAACCTGAGGAAAATCTTACTTACACAATAGCAGACCTCTTTTCTCAACATGTATTTAGTTCTTTCTCTGAAACTGCTTCTCTCACAGAACCTGCTGT